GGGCAAGTGCAGGTGTGACCTGGGGAGGTTTGTATGCAGATGTGCACACAAGTCCATCAGAAACTTTATCAGTCTTGTTCATACTCTATCACCAGTGTCTGAACAGTGCCAGGCACACAGTAGGTGCTCAGTGCATATACAGTGAATGGTTGAAGGAGGGAAAGAAGGAGTGCCAGATCTCCCAGGGACCCTCAAGGCTTGTGGTGCCCATGGAGACCTCAGTGATGGGTGCCTAAGTGGGGATGTTTTGTTCCGGGAACTCTGGCCAGGCTGCTGTGCTGGTCATTGATGGGGACGTTTGGAATGAATAGGAGTCTCAGGGACTCATTGGGTAAAGTAGAGGTCTCAGCCGCCAGGGCAGGGAGGGCTGGATAGCCAATACTTCTTCTCCAGGAGTTCACAACTTGCAGCTCCATAGGGTTGGGTGGTTATGGTTTGGTCAAGAGACCACAGGCTAAGGAAATGATGCTTCTTAGTCTCTGAGCTTGTGGGATTCTCTCAAGACAAATGCATTTTTCCATGATATGCCTCTAACCCAGGGAAGTGGGGAGGATAGATGTTTAACAGAAGAGCAAACTGAGGCAAAGCCACCTAGAGGCTGCCTGGGCTGAGGCAGGAAGCCAGGAAGCACCTGTCTCCTGCCCAGGAGGCCCCAGGCAGATGTCCTGAGTAGGATAATGGAGGATGGGGAGAGTTTGGGGGATGGGCAAGAGTTGGCCCCATCAACCCATCTGGGGCTCAGACCTGAGACCTTCCCAGGAGCCTGCCCCTCCTTTGCCCTTACCTTTCCTTGCTGAGGGATGGTAAGAGGGAGCTGGAGGCAGGTGGGTGGAACTCCCAGAGTTCAACCTGGGGTGAACTTGGAAAAGGAACTCTGCAACTTTCCAACCCCCGCACACTTCTCTCCTCCGCATGCAGTCTGGCACCCGTTTGAACAACTTGGGTGCAATTCTGGGAGGCCCAGATGGAAAGGCTCCCTTCCAGAGGGAGGGCCTGGACCTCGGAGAGCGGCCTGGCTCTGGTTTCTAGGCAAAAGGCTGGAGAGAAAGGAAGAAGATGGCAGTGACTTCTTGGTACCATGTGGTGAGCACCCGCTCTGTGCTGACTTGCAAATAGTGATCTCCTCATCATAGTGGGCCAGTGGAGGCTAGATGTCTTGGGGGTGTTAGAGAATGTGTTTGAGATCACACAGCTAGGAAGCATTAGAGCTGGAACTTGAACCCAGGGAACTTGGTCTAGTACTAACACCCTTGACCACTGCCTTAACTACACTGCCTGTGTGCATGTGTGTGTCTGTGTATCTGTCTTTCTATCTTGGAGGCTGCTCCACATCCTCACAATTGATCTGCCCTGTTCTTTCCAATAGCTACATAGTGCTGCTTGATGTCAGTGGACCATAATTTATTTTTCCAGTTCCTTCTTGATGGGCAATTAGTTTGTTTTGGAACTCCTGATACTACATCTTTGCGAACCTTCCAAAAAATGATAATTTCATACAGTCTAGCCTAATACAAATGATACTGCAGCAAGTGTTTCATTTAGTTGACAAGCACATACTACGTGCCAAATACTTTTCTAAATGCTTTACAAATATTAACTATTTCATATCCTTGACACAGCCCTTTGAAGTAGGTATTGGGATTATCATCATCAACCCCATTTTGCAGATGAAGAAATTGAGATGAAAAAATCTATCACAGAAAGATTAAGTAACTTACCCAGGTCACAGAGCTGACAAGTGGAAGGGCTGGAAATTAAACCCTGGGAGGTTCACAAGACTGAGGATGTATAATCACAGGCCTCACTGCCCCTTGTCCTTGGCTATTCATGGGCTGCAGTCAGGGCTGGATTAAGGCCTTAAGCACTGGTAATCTGTGGTGCTCCTTCTCTACTTACTCATGCATTTGAATGAGATATATGAGTTATATACATACATGCTTTTTCATGTGTTTGTCTGTGTCTCAGCTATCCATGATGTAACTTCTTTGTGAATGGCACTCTCATAATCCATCCTTGCCCAGTAACCACTCATGTTGGATCCATTTGCATATTGACTGAATGTGGCAAGAGTTAGACTTGACAGCCCACCCCCACCTCTTGTTTATTTGAAAGAAATAGTATATTTCCAAGAGACCCGCTGGGATAAGAAGTTTCAGTTATTCGGGAGGGGATTGTAGGAGACACATGTCAATGAATGTATTGAAGTGGTGAGGTCTTTGTAGCTTAAACAACCTTGCATATTGTTTGGGCCCTTACGACCCTATGTGAGCTTTATTTCCGGGTTGGCACATTCTCATACACTGGAGCTGGTAACAATTCTATTTAGTGTCCCACCGGTTCCCTTCCGCTGTGGTGCTCACTTTTCCTCATGTCTTGTCTGCTTGGCATCTATGGGCCTTTGCTTTGGACAACTTGTGCCCCTGTTTCGTTGATGCCCTAAGCATGTGCTTACCTTTCTTATTGGGTAATCTGTCCTTGGCTGCAAAGCAGAGGTTAAATTCTTGGACGTGGACTTTCAGGTTAGAAGGTGCATTTAAATCCTGCTGTTGTTCCAGGGACCAGGGGCAGAGCAGGGAGCTGAGAGTGTCCTGCTGCATCCCTGGCCCCAAGAACATGACCCTCACTAACCATCCCCACCCCCCAGCTCTTGCCAACAAGACAGCTGCAGCCTGAGAGGCTGGAGCCCACACTGCGCTCTTTGTCTTCGGTGGGAACTCTGTGGCCCCCACGGCCCTTCTCAAGGGCTCACTGTCCCAGCACTGGAGGGGCCTCTTGGGGGCCAGGCCCGGCTGGGAAACTTGGCGCATTGGAGGCCCCTGGGCCAGCCTGCCAAGTGGGCATGCAGAGCCCACTCAGGAGTCATTCTCACTGGAAATATGGACAAGCAAGGCTGAGGGTGAGGTGCAGCAACCCGATGGGGCCAGAGTCCTGCCTCCCAGCTATAGCACTGTGCATCCCCCCCTCCATGGCCCAGGCCCAGCTTCTGGCTCCCATCTCCCCCAACCTCCACCCCCTCCAAGCCCCCACTCCTCAGGCAGCCTGAATGCTCACAACGCCTTAGGAACCCTGGGCTGTTGTTGCTCAAGGGACTAGGGGCATACCAGGGATCTGGGAGTGTCCTGCTGTATCCCTGGCCACGAAAACATGATTCCCACTAGTCACCCCCATTCAAGAGCTCTGTGACCCAGCCCAGAGCAGAAGGGGCCCAGGTTTGACTTCAGCACATCCTGCCAAGGGGGATCTAGACCCTCCTCTGAAGACTGAAGACCAAGGGGGTTAGTTCCAGGGTTAAGGGAATCACACTTGCCCTGCCCAGGCTCCAAACTCTAGAGGGGGCTCCCGAGCATTTGGAGAGGAGCAGGGGTCCAAGAAAGGAGCTCTGGTAGTGTATGGTTAAGGTGTTTGGCTGCTAATCAAAATGTTAGTGATTCGAACCCACCAGGTGCTCCGCAGAAGAAAGATGGAGCAGTCTGCTTCTGGAAAAACTTATAGTCTTGGAAACCCAGTGGGGGTCACTGTGAGTTGGAATCCACTCGATGGCAGTGAGTTTGCTTTCTTTTTCTGAGAGGGGTCCAGGGTAGGAGCAGTGAGGGGGGGTTGGGAGTGGGCTCCTGAGAGAGAAGGAATTGCTGTGAGTGAAGGTCTCAGTTTCTTCATCCTAAAATAGTGGGGTGGAGGACTGTGCTGTGTCACCTCTCCCTGACTGGGTACAGGCCCTTTGCAAACTGTGGAGCCCTGTATCCAGGCCAGTCATTTCCCAGGGCAAGTTGGAGCTAACCAAGCCCTGGCCCAGGGCCCAGGCAGAACAGTTCCTGAAAGGTTTCTGAAGGGTTTCTGCACGCTGTCCTTGTGCCCTCAGTCGTCTTTTCCCTCTCACTCCACGGTGCCTCTTTCCTGCATGTCTTTTAAACGGAACCTCAAGGATCTGGGGACCTCCTTGGATGCAGGGCAGGAGAATAATCTCTCTCTGGGAGGCGAGTGAGTCCTGCAGATGGGGCCAGTGTTCTGATGTCTCCTGACACAGCTCCACTTGCAGTGGCGGAGGCAGCTTACGGTGGGGTCCAGCACTGAACTGTGAGCTCAGGGTGGGCTGGGTGCAGCGGAGAGGCTCAAGGAGTGTTTGCTGAGTGATTGAGTGGTTCACTGGCTGCAAACTCAAGATTCTGGAGTCTTAAAGGTTGTTGAGTGAGGGGACCCGCTCTTCTTTCTCACCACCAGGCAAATGGGGGCTCCTGGAGGGATCACAGTAGGTAAGAGAAGGGCTACAGGAGACCTTGCTCATGCAGTCATTCATCAGAAGAGCAGACTCTGACCCAAGGTGCAAGACCTACCCTTTGTAGTTGGCATTTATGAAGTACTTACTGTGTATCAGGGTCTGGACTGAGCATTTTACATGCATTAACTCAGATCATCACGAAGGCCTAGGGTCAGTCCCATTTTACAGGTGAGAAACAGTGACTTGTCCACAGAGCAGACTGTTTGACCCTGGATTCCAAGTCCTTAGCCTTGCGGGCTCGATGGCAAATAACAACAACAACAACAACAAGCTTTGTCCGCTGGGAGCTTCCCTGCAGTGAAGATGAAGTGAGGGAGGAAGGAGGGATGGATTCCCGACAGAGCCCAGTGGAGGCTGGAGGAGGGTGTTGGCCCCTAGAAGAGGACCTGCAGCGCAGTGCCCTCAGGCGAGACTCGCTGGTCCGCGTAGTGGTGCTGGAGGAGGAAGAGGTGGAGGAGGAGGAGGGTCTGGCTCGCTCCCTACCCGCCTAGGCCCTCCTCGGCCCAGCTCGTAAAGTCCATCGGGGCCCCCGCCCCGGCTGGCCGAGGGCGGCGCGAACAAGCGGTCTTTCTGTGCGCCGCGGTAGCCCGGCGCGCAGTGTCCCCGGCAGCTGGACCGCCGCCCGCGGGGGCGCGGACAATCCCGGGGCTTGTGGCCCGGGGCGGGGCGGCCTGGGTTGCCAAGGTGACCCGGGCGCGGGGAAGGCGGCTCCGGCTCCGCGCGGGCCGGGCGGCGACGGCACAATGAGCGGCCGCAAACGCAGCTTCACCTTCGGGGCCTACGGCGGGTAGGTGCACCGGGCGGGGGCGCTCGCGGGAGTGTGCGCGCGGGCCTGCGGCTGCGCCCCGGCCGACTTGGGTTGCATTTTTCTGTAGTTGGGAATTTGTATTTGTGAGGCATGGTGTTTTGGTTAGTCTCTGTGTGTGTGATCTTGCGTGCCTGCGTGTGTGTGTGTTCCTGTTGGTTAATCACGTGCTTGTGTGGGGCCATGAATGCCCTGTGGGCATTTGTGTTTGTGTCTAAGTGTGTGACAGTGTTAATGTATGTGGTTGATGTGGAGACCCACAGGTGGAGCGCGTGTGTGCGTGTGTGTGTGTGTGTGCGTGTGTGTGACTGTATGTGTACCCATGCCTGGGTTCATGTATAGGCGTGAGGTGCCTGAGATCAGGCCAGACCCTGCGCTACCCCTTGTCTCAGAGTTGCTAACCACCCTGGTGGTGGCTGGTCCACCTTGGGGTCACCATCCCTTGAGGCTCTAAGTGCCCGCCACAGAGGGGTGCAAAGGAGGAGTGGGGGGATTCCTCTCTGAAGCCAAGATTTGGCAAAGTGTAAAGAAGGTGGGATCTGCAGCCTGGTCCGAGTCCCCTTCATGAAGCAGCTGTGTGTGACCTTCACCAGGCCCTTGCCTCCCAGGACACAGGCTCCAGCCATCAGAGGGACTCACAGGCTGTGCCTTTGGGGTGTGGAGATAGTTGGGGCTCATGCAGGGGAAATAGCTGGCGCACAGTAGGTGCTCAATGAGCTACGGGGCTTGTGTCTAAGAGACCTCCTTCTCCAAGGGGACTCTGGCTGAGGGCTGGAGTTGGAGGTGAGATGGCTGTCCCTGCTAGCTGCAGGTGACAAGGACAGCCTGAGCTGGCACCCCCCCCCCAGTTTCCTGGTCACATGACCCCAAGTGGCAGCCCAGTGGGTGGAGCTGGGTTCTGTTGTGTGACTCTGGGCAAGTCACAGCCTCTTGGGCTTACTTTCCCTGTCTTCAGAGTCAACCTTCCATATTAGGTGATCCCAGTGCCTCCAGCCCTTTCTTTTTAGAAGACACCCCTTGCTGGCAAAGTCCAGTTTTCGGTCCCCTCCCCATTCCCCTCTGGCCTCTGGGCAGGAGGCAAGAATTGTTTGTTGTCCCAACAACCGCTGGAGCCCCTTAGCCCTGAGCTGGCCTCTCCAGCCCTCCTCCCACCTCAAGGTGCCTTCAAAGGACAATGGGGGTGAGAGTCTATGAGGGGGCATTGTTCACACACTCTCCCTGAGTCTGGGGCTTCAGGAATTTGCAAGAGACAAAGTCTAGGGGTGTTCCCTGAACTCCAGGGGTTTGAGCTCTTTCTTCCCCAGGCTCTGCTTTTGGGGACTAGGTGTATATCCAGGACTCCTAGGCATTTACCCCCTGGGTGGATATGATGGCAGGCTGCTGGGGTAGGGGCTGCAGGCTGGAAGCCTTCCTCTTGCCCACACCATAAACACCCAGCACACCCTCAATCCTGTCTGGAAACACTTTAAACTGGTTTCAGCTGTACCCTTACATCCCTACTCTGACCTCCCACTGCTATGTCACTGTCTGCCCACCTGTCCCAAGGTCTCCTCATGCTGGACCCCAACCCGCACCAACACCCCATGGCCCAGTCCTCAGCCCCTGCTCCTTTACCCCCACACCCTCCCAATCCTACCTCTTTCCTCATTCCCTAAGCCTCATATTTCCCTATACCTCTAATTCCCTGTCTTTCTTCTCAATACTTCTATCTGCTCTTGGGGCTCCCCACCTGGGATGAGGGGCCCCAGCAGCATAAGGAAGCTGGTGCCAGTACATCAGACATCCTTAGAAATAGGACTGGCTCCGGGCCCCTCTGAGAGGGCAGGGTGTGGGCGGGAGTTGGCCTCATGTGCTGGGCGAAGGGGGCTGTGAGTGCATGAGAAGGGGCTGTGCCTCACCTGCTGCCCCTCTTGCTGTGTTTCAGGGTGGACAAATCCTTTGCCTCTTGCCGGAGTGTGTGGTGAGTGCTGGGGCCTCTCAGGAGGGACTGGGTTGGTTTGACTGACTCTGGGGACACTTCCAATCCATTCTCATCCCCTAAAATGCCAGGCCACACCCCACCAATCTTCTCACCACCTCCAGGCCTCGGAGTGGGCAAGACTCTCTTACAAGTTTTGTACCCAAGCATTCTTCCCCATAGTTCTTTCTGGAGCTCAGCTTGGAGTGAGACGGTTCAGAATTTAGCTCTGCCCCGGCCCTGGTGACCCTCAGCAATTCAGCTGACCTCTCTGAACCTTAGTTTTCTCATCTGTAAAACAGAGACTTAAATACCTGTTCATTAGAGTGTAAAGTTGTAAAGGAGTCCATGGGTGGTGCAAACTGTTCAGTGCTCAGCTGCTGAAAGAAAGGTTGGCCGTTTGAGTCCACCCTGAGGTGCCTCAGAAGAAAGGCCTCGAAGTCTGCCTCCAAAAGATCAGCCATTGGAAACCCTGCAGAGCACAGGTCTACTCTGACCCGTGTGGGGTAGCTGTGAGTCAGAACCAACTGGGTGCCAACTGGCCACTGGTTTTAAAGCTGTAAAACAAAACAAACCAAAAAACCCTGGACTCAACATATTATGTTGTTGTTGTTATGTGCCCTTGAGTTGGCCCTGACTCATAGCGAACCCTCCTTGGGTTGCCGAGGCAGTATCACTACGGAAGTAGATTGCCCCATCTTCCTTCCGAGGAGTGGCTGGTGGGTTTGAACCACCAGGCTTCTGGTTAGCAGTCAAGTGCCTTAGATGCTACCAAAGCTCCTCAACATATTATAGACCCTCACTAAATGTGTTTCCTCCCTTTTTCTCTCTTCTGTTCCTTCATACCCCCTGTGGCTTCTGGCTGGACTGGGGGTTCCTTTTTGCAGATGCCACACAACTCTGCTGTCCCCCCTCATACACAGTCCTCAGAAGCCCCTCTCCAGCCACCCCCACTCCCCCCCAGTCCCCTGTATCTGATGCTGCTTTCTGCTTTGGAGGAAGAGTGAGAGAGGCAGTGGCATCTGCAGCTTCCCCAACACCCAGAGGAGGTAGGCGGAGCTGCATTCTCACCTTGGGATTCATGGCACCTCTGATGCCCCTGCAGGCAGGTGCTTCCCAGTTTTCCTGGCACCAGCGTCATATGGGCCCCGGCTGGCTGCTCCTGCTGCCATTTCAGCTCTGGCAGGAGAGCCCCCGTGGCTCTGGCTCCTGCTTCCTGCCCCTGCTGAGGGCTTCCCTGGGTCCCTAGGCCCTGCAAGGGCCCCTGGCTGATGGACGATTCCTATCTGGCTCCATTGCCCCACCTGCCACCAGAGGCCTCCTAGGAAGCCACTTCTGGGCTGGGTAGCATGTGGGGGCCCAGGCTGAGCTCCAGGGCCTGCCCTTTTATTTGCATTTGATGCTGTCTGTGAGCCCTGGGGCCAGTTACTCTGCATCTCTGGACTTTATCTCCTGCTCTGTGCCCAGTCAATCTACAGACATTCCTTCCAACAGACATTCCTTCTGAACCTCTACTATGTGTGGTAGGAGCTCTGGTAGCATAGTGGCTAAAGCACTTGACTGCTAACCAGAAGGCTGGCGGTTCAAACCCACCAGCCACTCCTCGGAAGGAAGGTTGGGCAATCCTACTTCCGTAGTGATACTGCCTCGGAAACCCAAGGAGGGGTCTCTATGAGTCGGGGCCGACTTGACGGCACATAACAACAACAACAACACTATGTGTAGAACATTGTACAATGGCCAGAGCAGGGGTGGGGTGACAGGAGGTAGAGAGAAGTGAGGAAGACAAGTGAGGAAGACACTGAACTCTAAGGAGTTCAATAATAATATCAACAACTACCACTAGTCAAGCACCTGCTATGCACCAGGTATAGTTGTTGTTGTTGCTGTTAGGTGCCATTAAGTCGATTCTACCTCATAGCCACTCTATGTACAGCAAACATAGAACAAAACACTGTCCTGTCCTGTGCCGTCCTCACAACCCTTGTTATGCTTGAGCTCTTTGTTGCAGTCACTGTGTCAATCCATCTCATCAAGGGTCTTCCCCCTTTTCTCTGACCCTCCACTTTACTTAGCATGACATCATTCTTCATGGACTGGTCCCTTCTGCCAATATAACCAAAGTAGGTGAAACAAAGTCTGGCCATTCTCACTTCTAAGGAGCATTCCAGCTGTACTTCTCCCAAGACAGATTTGTTCATTCTTCTGGGAGTCCATGGTATTTTCAGTATTCTTCACCAACACCACAATTCAAAGGCATCAACTCTTCTTCAGTCTTCCTTATTCACTGTCCAGCTTTCACACACATATGAGGCAATTGAAAATAACATGGCTTGGATTAGGCACACCTTAGTCTTCAAAGTGACATCTTTGCTCTTCAGCACTTTAAAGGGGTCCCTTGCAGCAGATTTGCCCAGTGCAATATGATGTCTGATTTCTTGACTGATGTTTCCATTGGTGTTGATTGTGGATCCAAATAATATGAAATCACCAGATATAGTAGGCACTGTTTTAGATGCTTGACATGCATGTAACCTTTATTACATCCCCAAGTTAGGAACTATTATCTCTAGTTACATATGAGAACAATGAGACACAGAGGGGTAAAAGAGTTGCCCAAGGTCACACTCCTGCCCACCCCCCAGCTGTCTCCCTGTGCATATACAGCCCTTCTATTCTCCCATGATTGATCTCTCCAAGGATTGTATTTACCTAATGTAAATGAACAGCTCATATCCCTGTCTTTTGCTTGCAGAAGGCCTACTCTTGGGAGCCCTGGAGCAAGAGTCAGAGATGAAAGCCCAGGATTGATAGTAACTGACTAGTTGTGTGACTTTGGGCAAGTTTATTTTCCTCTCTGGGCTTTAATTGACACATCTGTAAATTAAAAACTCACTGCTGTCGAGTCAGACCCATAGCGACCCCTCCTTGGGTTTCTGAGGTGGTATCACTACAGAAGTAGATTGACCAATCTTCCTTCCAAGGAGTAGCTGGTGGGTTTGAACCACCAGCCTTCTGGTTAGCAGTCAAAGGCCTTAGGGACTATGCCACCAGAGCTCCTGGAAATTAGGGATCTGGAATTCCCAGGGCATGCCCACTACCCACAATGCCTTGCCCTACATCTTCCTAGCTAGAGCTGCTGTCCAAGGTGCTAACCCCTAGGCCCTCCTGTTCCAACTGTGGGCCAATTGTCAGCAACAGCCTGAGGCTGGCATATAATTATGGTGTGCCATCTAGTCAATTTCAACTCATAGTGACCTTATAGGACAGAGTAGAACTTCTCCAAAGGGTTTCCTAGGCTGTACTCTTTACAGGGACAGATTGCCGAGTCTTTTCTTCCACAGACCCACAGGTGAGTTCAAATTGCTTTGCCACAGGGGTCCTTGGCATATAGTCAGTGATTTGTAAGTGGTGATCATTTTCATTATCAATTGTGATTTTCTGGCATTGAAGGCCTGTCCCCTCCTCCCTGCCAAGCCTCCCCTGTCCCCTGCACTGCTGGTCAACAGGCGTATGGCACCCGTCAGCTGCCCCTCCTCTATGCTTTTACTCACATTGTCTCCTTACCCTGACATGCTCTTTCCTCTCACCCTCACAAGCCCATCTTGATCACCATTTGTTGAGTGTTCCTTTCCCTGGTTCCTTCATCCCATCCCTCTCTCCTTGGAGTGCCTTCCTGCTTATCATGCCTGTAGAGCAAACATTAGCCCTCACTCTGGGGCAAGGGCAAAGAGCTTTGAATCTGACAGGTGTGGATTTGAATTTGACCTTGGGCACGACTTCCTCTCTCTGAGCCCCAGTTGACCTCCATAGATATTTATCATATTGAGTATTTCAGTGAGTTGAACGTATCCGCATAACGCTGTAGCACAAGGCAGGCTCTGAGATCCTTGAAAGCAAGCCTTGCTTGAGTTACTTCTTTGCTTGATTTAATCCCATTTTTCAGCATAAGGCCCATGAAGCTCAGTTTTCTCACCTGTAAAATGAGGATAAAAATATCTACTTAAGAGAGTAAAGTTGCCCAATAAAAGTGGGGGGCTGTATTCTTCTCATCTCTGTGTCTGCCATATGGTCTTGCACAGCTACCTATACACAGTAGATGCTTAATAAATATTTGTGGAATTGAATTGAATGTGTTCAGAGATTGGAATGAGTCAAACTACGTCAAGTAGACTGGGAGAGCTTCCTGGAAGAGGCATGTTTTTTCCCCTAGTTCTTTTTTTAAAAAAGGATTAAGAGATTAGGGCTTGGATCATGGAAGCAATGAGGCTTGGGTAGAGGCCAGATGTGATCATGACTGTATTCTCCTACCCTGCCCCCATTAGCAGGTTGTCTGCACTGGAGGGGATCAGAGCAAGCATGCAAATGTAAGAGGAAATGAGGCCCAGTGGGAGGGTTTGGAGCTTGTGAGATTGTGGGTCACTTTGGTTCTGCAACCCTAAGGGACCCAGAAATCCTGGGGTAAGGGCTGGACATTTAAGGTGGACTCCAGCAGAGGAGGAGATAAAAGGTATCGATGGGAGAATGACTAGGTGGACTTTGGGGGGAATCTGAACTACCCAGAGAAAAAGGAGAGTTTTAAAGCTGGGAGCCTGGGAGGAGGAGGCAGGGCTAGCAAGACAGTGTAACTGGGCTGGGCATTTTGCAATGGTGGTCTTATCGAATCATGACAACAGTCCTGCAAGTTGACTCTAAAAAACCTAGTTGTTGTTGAGTTGATTCCAGTTCATGGCGACTCTTCAGGCAGAGTAGAAATTCTCCATTCTTGGAAAAAGATCACCAGGCCTTTCTTCCGAGGTCCTTCTGGGTAGACTTGAGCCTCTAACCTTTTGATAGGAGCCAAGTGCATTATTCATTTGTACCACCCAGAAACTCCAGGTCGACTCTAGTATTTTACAGAGGCCCAAACCAAGGCTGACAGAGGTGAAGGTTCCAAGCCCAGTATCACACAGCTGGCAAGGCCTGGATTTGCATCCAGCTTTTTTTCTTGCCATGAAAGGGAC